GCCAGAAATGCAGGTGTTGATGTGCCTCTCAATAGCATTATGGAGATTATACAGCTGTGCCTGGCAGGCGTCGGTTATGACCCTCCGAGAGGGATTTTTAAAGTAAAGAATTACAGAGAATTACAACTTGTTTCTGCTCTTTGCAGAAGTCTGGAACTGGTCATTCTGCAGGCTGCAAAAATCGTTTTTTATGGTGAGGTGGGATTGGTAGCATTTGCTGATGATGGTGCACCACAGCATGCTGGGAGTGAAGTGAAATGTTTAGCATATGAAAAAACGCAGCTGTTATCTCCACGACATAAACTAGACTAATATCCACTATAAGCACCCCCCCCCCCTTTTTTTTTAATAACATGGTCTTTTGCTTTAGAGATAAGGGTTTATCTGCAGTGTAGAATACAGACTCGCTAAAGATGCTGCTTGTCTGATTTGTGTGCTTAAAAATCAGGCATAGTTTGGAATAATGTTTTCTTAATAGATACAGAAATGTTGCAGCTGCCATTTACCCTCAGAGTATTGGAAATTTTCACTGCTTTCTGAAAATCATGCTGATGTTACTGCTGTGTGTTTATGTGAGGGTGTGCATCCTTTCTTTACCCGGGTGAAAGCTGCATGAAGTTTCTTCTCAGCTGTAATGGCTATGACAGTGTAACCTGAGCGAGGTTCTTAAATCAGGCCATTGACTTTGATGAGTGACTTGAGAACATATGACCTACTCTGACTGCCATTAGTGCAGAAGATTTTTCTGGAAGAGTAATTACCTGCAGTATCTCAGTTGATTTTTAACCTTGAACTATGCAGAAATGTAGAACTGCTTTTAGAGTTTATTTGGCTGTAGTAGATGATCTTTAATTCATTCTGTTGACTGTGAAGGTTTTTTTAGAGGTGGCTGGAAATGTTGTGATGAGAAATGTAAGGAAGGCTTTTAATCATTAATTAACACACAGAAAAGGAGATATTAGAAAGTACAAAGTCTCTGTGGAATTAAGCCTTATCACTGTTGCTTTAGTTGAATCTAAACTTGCTGAAATGAAGGTTGGTTTACCATGCACTCATAGACTTCCTGTTATTGTGCTTTTATTCAATACTACATCTGCTCTCTGTCCTATAGAAAATTATTTGCTACCGGTCTTCTGCTCATTAAATTCATTGATTCAGTTTGGCTATTTGCATTCTGCCTCTGTGTGGATCATATAGAACAGAAAAACTGCTTACAAAATGATGAACTCAAAGTAAGATTTATTTAATTAGGTGCAAATGACTTTTATTCATCCATTCTTTGCTAACCACCATTCTCTGTTTGGGAGAAACAAGCAGTTCATCAGAGATTTAAAACTGGGCATTATTTTCTTAAAGGTAGCTTAAAATAGGACAGATCAGAGGTGTACAAGCTAAGGCATAGTTAATGTAAGTAAAGTTCCAGTTTTTCACCACCTTACTCTTGGCAAAGGCCAGAGTTCCTCTCAGTAGTATTAAAAAGCAGTATAGTCACATATAAAATTCACTTTATTCACAAGTAACTGAAAGCACCTCAGAAATAACATATTTTGGAGATTGTGAGGTATGTTTTTGTAAATATGCACTGTTTGTGGCATAACTCAATTACCAGGTGTTTTGCTGTTAAATGTGATATGGGTCAGTCAGAGATGCCCTTTGGTTAGCAATGGCGGAGTGCATGCTCAGTGTGGGCGTCTGCAGATTGTGGTGGATTGCAGTGGCAAGTCCTGGTTCTGTGGTGACCATTTGCACAAAGAGGCATAGCTTCCTTTTCTCTTCCTTTGCTTTCTCTTCTACTTCTATCTATTGGAAGTTCTGAACTCGAGATTTATTTGATGTAGTTAGGTGCTGTGTGCAATTTCTGATAGATAGTATTTTGGTACTTGCATAAAATTAGTTGAGGGTCAGCTACTTACTGCAGATAGTTGTTAATTTTTCAAAAATTATGCTTTTCTCTCAAATTGAGAATATCTGAAGTAGAGCTAGCCTTAATACATAATTTTGAAATAATCTTTTTCTGAAATACTTGGTGCTGTTGAGAACAGAAGTGTAATATTGCCTCAGCCACCTAACTTCAGATTCTTTGAAATTGCCGTGCTATCTTTGACCAAGGCAATATTCAGTCATAACTGGAAGATGATTAACAACTGTTTGCCATTTGTTTTATTAAACAGGATGTGAATAAAAAAGTGAAACAGACATAAATGTGCTTTTTATGGGTATACATGCTGTCGGCTCTGTTCATTGTTATGCATATGTGGAAATAATAAATCATGAACCTAATTGCATATTAACTTGCTGAGAAGGCTGTAGCTTTTAAATAATACTTAATACAGAATAGTGATTATTTTTTTGATTCCAGTAGGTCTTGGTAAATAGGTGTTTTGTGTTCAGACATTAGAGGACTTTGAATAATACATCACTCAAGAAAAATCAACATCTCTGCTTATTTTTGGGTATCTGATAATCTGCTTGAGTATGTATTTAGTGGGGCATACTGATTTCCTTAAAACTCTTGCCTTTCTCTGAAGCAAATTATGTTTTAACGTTTGCTCTTCCTGCAGTGCCTTGCGTTCCATGATATTTCACCCCAAGCTCCAACACATTTCCTAGTGATTCCTAAGAAGCCAATTGTCAGGTTATCTGAAGCAGAAGATTCTGATGAATCTGTAAGTACTCCAGAAGCTTTGAGTACACCAAACTGTATCTCTAATTACTTTATAATTTACTAGATTCTCCCCCTTTTCCTCTTGACATTTCAAAGAGGCAAAGTAGTTTTCCTATACTATAATCCTTTTCTTCTAGCTGAGAATGGGAATGGAGTTAAGGTTTTCCAGTAAAAAGTACTGATATAAAGCAAGATATATTTCTGGGTGTGTATTTGTAGTGCAAAATGCATTATTAGTTTAGAGCAGAGTCTGGATATCTGTCTGTTTTCATGGTTTACAGGCAGTAGTACTTACTGTAATATGGGCTTGGGGTTTTTGGCAGGTCAGAGATGAAGAAAGGGTAAGTTAGTTGAGAGGTGCTGAATATTTAATTTCTAACTATAAACATGAAGTTCATAGATTTTGTAAGCCTTTACATGATAAGATAAAGTTTCTTTTCCACCAGAATTATATATGTTGCCTGAAGAAGTCATGGGGGCTTTAACTATGAGATAAATTTAGCATCCATGACCCTTTTGTAGTTTGTTACTGTCTAGCTTTAAAAAAAATCTATAGCTTTTTTTCCCCCTATGTTATGCATAGTCAGTCTTTATAGCTTTTATTGGAAAGTGTCAGTTGCAGGCAGACAACAATTTGAAGAGCAGTGGCTGAATTTCTCAGAATTAACTTACTGGCTTATCTGAATGGTTCTCTGCTCTCATTCCTTCCCTTCCTGCCCTCTTCCCTTTTTGTGTGTTTTCTGTTTGTCCTCCGTCCTCCCCCCGCCCCTTTTTTTTCGTCCTCCAGCTTCTTGGGCATTTAATGATTGTTGGCAAGAAGTGTGCTGCTAACCTGGGCCTGACCAATGGATTCCGGATGGTTGTGAATGAAGGGCCTGAGGGTGGGCAGTCTGTCTATCACGTACATCTCCATGTTCTGGGTGGTCGTCAGTTGGGCTGGCCTCCTGGCTAACGTTTTTACACCACAAAAGTTTACTGCATGCATATGAATTACCATCAAATAGATCTGATATGTTGCCCATCAATCTAGTCACTGTTAATGTAATTTTTTTTTTTTGAATGTGTGTCTACAAAGGGTAATAAATGCTCTGAACAACATTCGCACAATAAAGATTTAGCATGTGGGAATCGTCTCTGTCTGGTGTGCCTTACTGATGGAAACAATTCTGCAAGTTAAAGTTGTGATCTCTGGAGTTTTAAGTATGTAGCGTGTTCTAGTCTACGGTTATCAATCTTTGGCAGATAGTGATTTGCCAAGGCATTTGAAACCTGAAGGTGCAACTGCTTAGCAGTCTTTCGTGTCCTTTGGGAAGAAAACTTCTAACCTTTTTGCATGTGGTATGTAAATACTCGTAAAGCCAGTGTAGGCTGCTGCTAAAACTTTTTAAAAAAGTGTTGTATGTGAAATTCTGCACATACAAGGGCTGTGTCAGCATAGTGCAATGTGGTGGAAACTCACAGCTCCTGTTGGAGCCCTCTGTCAACGGCTGCTTTATAAGGCCCTGTCTTTCTGATGAGAAAGGGTAAAACAATAGTCTTAATGGCATCTGTGATAGTTCCATAGCACACTGATATTTACTTCTACGTCATAATTTTGATGGAATTAAGGACTTGAAATAAAAATACTGAACTGTGTCTGTAGGACCTTGTAAGATGCTCAGGGCACTTCATCTTGACATGTAAGCAGCATGATGTAGTACATATATATTTTAGATTCCAGATTTTATTGGGTGGACTTTGTCCTTCAGTGAATAGTAGTTTCTGTATGTTGCTGCATACAGTTTTTCATGCAACACTGTCATCAAATCTCCAAGTCAATGTGAAGTTAGTTACAGATGTGTCTGCCAGTGTAAATATAAAGCAACTCTTCTTTGTGTTAAAGTTGAGAAGTCCCAGCTAACTGGTTTTTATGATGGAAGATACTTGTAAGCCTTTAGGCAGATGTCTTAAGAAAACTGGGGTATTTGTGAGCACCACTTCTGCAGAGTACAGTTTTAACACCAAAAGTGTTAGAGAAAGAAATGTGGAGATGTAGAAGGTGGACAGGTAAAGGCTGTGAGTTGCAATTTCTGTTCAGAGAAAAACAATTTTAGTAAAGGCACTGAAATTCATTGAACTTGAAGGTATTCTGTAAGTAGTTCTGAAGGTTCTGAACCTTCAAAGTTTTTACCCTAAGCCATGACTTCAACTGGAAAATCAGCTAGCCCTTCTGAAGGTGGCTGCTCTATAGCTGAGTTAGAAATAAAAAGGTGATCCTGTAGTAGTAGCCTGCCAGCTCTTCTCTTGGATGTCCTGCACAAAAGAGAAGAAGAAAACCACCCAGCCCCCAGAGGTACAGCATCCCTGAGCAGACAGTGTATCACAAGGATGAGATAGCACTAGCAGATCCAGTGGGGCTACAGTAAAGGTTTATGGCTGGGTAACTTCCTATTGGAACAAGTTCATGAAAGGAGAAAGTGTATCACAAGGATACAGTGTATCACAAGGATGAGATAGCACTAGCAGATCCAGTGGGGCTACAGTAAAGGTTTATGGCTGGGTAACTTCCTATTGGAACAAGTTCATGAAAGGAACTTAAGGAAGTTGAGATTACCCATTGGTACCCAGACGTGTAAAAGGGCATGTGATGTGTGTACTACTTTCACTTTTCTAATTTCTGTTTTCCTATGTGCATGCTTTATACCAATGTTATTCACAATAATTTGTGAATTAAAGCATGACTGGTAGAGAAAGCTTACAGATCACAGTTATTTGTTTATTCCATTTTTACGGATTTAAAAAACAGTAATCAAGAGGTATGCATACTTCAGTATTTTAGTTTGTATCAGGGCTGTTCTTTCAAAGTGAATTTGGCTGTGGTTTAGTTTGTGTTTTTTGGAGTGCTCTTGGGTTGCGTGGATTGGATGTTTCCTGGATGAACTGGAAGATGTATGCCGGGACAGCCCAAATATACTCCAGCCACAAACAGGCCTTTCTTGGTCTGTGCGTCCAAACTAGAGCTTGGCAAAAAAAACAAAAACCCAAATGCTGAAATGTAGTATGGGTGTTACTTTCTCACATTAACTTTACAGATTGACTCGTTGATCTGTACTGTTTGCTAATGTAGTATTTCTACTAAAGGTGGCATCCATGGGGATAGCAATAAAGGTGTAAAAAAGAGGCAGAGCTTACACAGTATGAAACTCAGAACATCATAGACTGAGAAGGACTCAGGTTTTATCAAGGGGTCACACATAGAGGGTGAGCTTGGTCTGAAAATATTTAATTGTCCTCAGGATGGTTGGAAAATGCAGAGAGTAAAGGATGTGTCTCCAGCTTACAGAACAACACATTCGAGCATTCAAGAGAGTGAAATGTTATGTCAAGTTTATTATTTTTGTCCAGCTTCAAGTAATGGTTACACTAACAAGAACATGGCTACGTTCAAACCCTCTGTGTGTTCAGGTTTTGTTTGTATCTGCTGCATGTTCCTTAAGAAATAAACTAGCCAAAAAGATTGATACGTTCAGGAATGAATGACAGGGATATGTTTGAAAGAGCTATGGAAGACTTTGAAAGGTCCACATTAGCTCTATGTTACTGTGGAGCTACAAGAGAGTTCCTTTTTCTTTAAAGTTGGTACTGTCCTTAGGTTGTTCTTTTGGGACTCAAAATTGCACAGAGACCCAAGTAACCCTCAGCTGAGTGTCTGAGAGGGAGACCTAAACTATGCACGTGACATTTATGTCGGTCACTGAGTTAGAACTAACACCTGCTAGGTATGAAATTTTGCATTCTTTTAGGTATTGAGCTGTCCAGTCTTGTTGGACCAAGCTGACCACACGTACCCATGCAGTTCTTGAAAATACTATGATAGTAACCATTGCAGATTTGGACAAGCCATCCTGGCTTAGGCTACAGTTGTCTTATTTTCTCTTTTTTGTTATTTTCTTGTGTGTTGGAACTCCTTTGAAGAAACTGGGGAAAAATCAAAACCTAGGCTAATACTGTTGGACAGAGCTGTCTGCCAGGGCTGGCCACCAGGTGTATACCCTATACGAGTTATGATGAGTTGAAAGGAGATGTGGGCTTTATTTGACCGTAATGTGCACAGCCGACACCTGGGCTAGTTACAGGGCTGCCAGGTGGAAAAAAACTAGGATCTAAGCCTAAAATGCAGTCTTCTGTGTAGAAGTTGGAGGGGGGTGGTGGTTTAAGGAGAGGTCACTGCTTTAGTGACTGTGGTGGGAACATGACTCTTTGGAGATCGGAAAATTGGGAAATATTTGGGGATCCAGCCCCTTTGAGGGGGAAGCGTCAAGAGAGCAATTTTTTTTTCCCTGAGAAACAGAAGGATCTTGAGAGAAAAAGCACCTAGAGGTTCCAGAAGAAAGAGACTACCTTTCCTCAACTTGTGGTAAAAGTGACAAAGAACTGGCAATCCCTCATGCAAAGGGTAAAAAATGTAAGTATTACCCTGTTGGATGTTCTGTGTGTTGGAAACCCAGCAACACCTATAAAGAGGTTACTGAGTAGACGTGAGCTTGATTAACTTGGTCTTGCTAAATTTGGTCAAAAAGCCTTATAGCAGACAGTACCCTGATGATGTGTAGGGTAGAGGGACAATATGTGAAGCTGGAGCAGAGTTCCTGACCCTTCTGTCAGGAAAGATTTATACTCTTGGTTTAGCTGAAGGTCAAGTACCCATCAGTCTTTTATAACTGAGATTTCAGTATCAGAGAAGACTCACAGCTGACAATAACTACACTCCAAAACAATTGGGTATTTTTATTTTCTTGTAGTGGTAGCTGTGCTTCTGTCAAGTTTTGTCAATGTAAAAATTCTGTTATTGTGAAGAAGATAGTGAATTCTCTAGAAACTTTGTAAAACATCGTATTGATAGTGCATGTTGGCTGAAAGATGAAAACTAGATGTGGAAAAGCTCCACCCTACTATTGCATAGTGGGGAGGAGGGAGAGTATTATGTGTTGCTTGTGGCTTGTATTTTGTTTAAAGTTCTTAGGGGCTTGGGAGTTGTATCTGCTTGCAAAACAGGAGCAGGTATGTCAGTTCATTCGTAAAATGTACATCTGTGCTGTAGGTACTCTTTTCTAATGCTGCTTGACAAAAGCAAGAAGGTATGATCGGTGTTTGCTTCAGTACTTCCTGAGGCAGCTAGTCAGAGCCACAGTGTTTTAGTCTTTTACAAGGGCATTTACCCTTGCAGAGTTGAGATAATTTGATCTATCCCTATGCCTCTGTTTTATTGTTACAGTAAGGCCTAGACTACAGTGTGTGTGGTATGGGCGGCACAACAATTCCAGAAGCTTTGTTTGAGGAAGGAAGTATCTGTGGCAAAAAGGAATGGGAGAGGTGAGGAAAAAAAGAAACGGAGTAAACTGAAAGTGGTGATTGAGTTGGGTGATGCTGCAGTGGAAATCCAGTCTAGGGCAGAAAGGGGAATATTTGCATGAAAGGCCCCTTCTGCTTTCTTATGTGGCACTGGGAACTTGTGTATTCCAGTGTTGTTCCTTCTTGGTCCTTTGCTTAGCGCATAGGTATAGAAATCTGGAAGTGAAGTTGTATAGCTCCAGAAAGTGGTTGCTCCTCTCTGATTCAGCTCCATGCTAGGGGTCTGTCTCTGTTAAATAATCCAGTGCAAGCCAAGGGAGGGTCAGCAGCTTGATTTGCATCAGAGCTCACCCATCTGTCTATAACATCTCTGTACTCTTGCGCAGGGTGGAGGTTTCAATAAGCTGTGGTGACAAACCTTGTATCCCAGTACTTACATAGGTCTTCCTTTCTCTAGTCTGTTGATTGGAACACATTCAATGATTAGGTTGCAAATGACACTGCTTCTTATTGGTAGTGTTTGTAATTTTTTTCTTCGCAATAATTTCTGCAAAAGGATTTAACTCAGTATTCCATAAATTGCATTTGGATCTCAGTTTAGTGAGAACATGTGGTTTTATGCTTGATGGAAGTAACCAGCTCATCACTACTTTTTTCGTATTTCAAAAAACCTCATTTGGTTCTTAATATTGTGGCTTTTTTATCACTTAACAGCTCAGCAGTGTCCACAAAATTGCTTCCACTTTTATTCACAGTAGAGCAAACAGCATGCATTTGCTTTTCCAGCTGTGACATAGAA